GGGGGGGGGGGGGGGGGGGGGGAGGGGTTATGATGAGGTGCCTGCACCCTGAGTGCTCGTCGGTGGTTCTGCTGAGCCACAATGACTGGAACTGCTAGCAAATGAATTACCATTTGTGAAGGATGCACCTCCCTGCGGTCGTCTTCGGGAAGGTCTGTGAATGGCCTCTGCGGTTCTCGGAGCGCTACACTCCACCGAAACCGGAATGAGCACTGTTCCCTCTACATTTTAACCACGTACTTCCGGGACAGTTTCGTTGCCGCCGAGTGCTGCAGGGCAAGCACAATTGGCGTTGCCGGGGGTTATTGTGCGGCAGGCAGCGTCGAGCTAACGCAGCACCACGTGAGTGTAAGCCCTGGCAACTTTTTCTGTGGATCCAACTTATTGCACAGCCTGCGCATTTGTTTATTTCGAGCTTACTTGATGGGGTCCCAATCTCTTCCACTTCAGCGCCTCCGCCTTCGTAAGCCTTGCTCCTGGCTTCGGCATAGCTGTGGTGCGGAGCACAAGGCGTACGGGGATCCCTTTCATGTCGAATTCTTCCCTTATTGCGTTGACGAGCTGTCTTTTGTAATGCGTCGGAAAGTGAGCGTAGACGTTTGACCACGCCACAAACGTCGGCGGTCTCGTCTGCGCCTGAGTAATGTACTTCCCCTGACACTGAGACCCCAACCTCCACGGAGGAGGCCACCGGGAGATGTATTGCTGAAGCCAGGCATTTATGGTCCCGGTGGGGACACGGCCGCACCACCGTTTGTAGACGGCACATGCCTTGTTGAGCAATGTATTCAAGTTTTCTGCATGTGCAGCAGACGTGAACACCACCGGGCACGATTTTAGATGCCCAAGACCAGTCTGAAGTCTCTCCAGCACCAATGTTCGCATTTGGCCCCGTCTGTTCATGTCCACTAGGTCCCACTTTGTTACGCAGACCACCAAGCTCTTCCCCTCTTTATCACTTGCCAAGTTCGCTAGAGACAAGTCATGCGAACCAATATGCCCTGTTTCTTCTATATGAGCAGCATCGAGGCACAGGATGCACACATCGGCTGCACGGATATTCCGCATAGTCTGTAATGATGCTTGTTGAAGCAGGTCGTCTCCTCGCATCTTCCATCCCCTACTGACTCCCGCCGTATCGACCAAAGTCATCTGCTGCTTTTTAAAACAAAAACTGATGCATACTGAGTCCGTCGTGGTGCCAGGTTTTGCGCTTGTCTTCAAACGTTCCTCCTTTAGAATGGAATTAATAAGGCTTGACTTGCCCGCATTTGGCCGACCAATGAACGTCAGTCGAATTGGTTCTTCACTCTTCTCGGTTTCCACATCGAGGTTTGCCGACGGCCGTACCGACGAGGCAGGCACTATGTTAGGAGCTTCTGGTTCTTCAGTTTCGCGGAACCAGGTTTCCTTGCTACACTCATCAATGCTGGCTTCTACCATGTGTCCTTGCTGCACATGACCAAGGACAACAACTGGAAATGCTCGATTCAACGCTTCAGGGTAGCGCGCCCTGAATTTCATGCGGCTATTCCCGTGTGCATAAAAAGGCGAACTTTCAGGAACAGTTAACTGCAACGGCAACAAACTTTACCAACGCGCATTCTGCACTCAAGTAGTGGCAACAAATACAGCTAAAAGCCTACTATGGGCCAGCCTTTTTAGAATGCCTCTCACTTGCAGTTGCAACGGCTGCGAACTCAGAGCATATGCACCAGTTCATACTCACTGAATATAAATTCGGTTCCCTCAGTTTCTACTCACCATAACTGTGTCATGATGAAAGCATTTGTCCTGTTCGGACTGCTGAGGAGCCTCGAATGCTGCATCACCTGGTGTAGACTTTTTCAAAGACCATGGTAAATGCAGGTAACCACCAAGAGATTGCTTGTGTGCCAATACCGGTTGCGCACCCCGGCCATATCGTCGGGATAACCCCTCGAGCCAGGCTTCGGTTGCGGCAGCTTCCTCATGAAGGATTTCTTTCACATTCTGGAAAGGCAAGGTCAGAGACAATGTGGCGGATTGAGTGCCCAAAACATTGCAGCTGCTTCTCTGAAGCGCCTTCCTCACAAAAGGGGGGCAATAAAGGAAATGCGTGAGATGATGATGAAAGCGTGCTGGATCACCTGTTGCTCTGGTGGAATTGACGGTGTCAACTCATGCTGGCGCTGCCCCTGAGCTAGCGCTTTAATCCGCGCTAACAACGATTCAAAACCCTGTGACGCCGTTGCATAGAAGCATGATACCAGATTCCCTAGCAGTACACCTCTCCACCGCAAAAGTCTGCAGTTTTGTGCCATCACTCTGTTTGGAGTTTCTGTAGGGCTTAAGCCTCGCTACGTGCTTACCTGGCTTGTTTTCGTGGATACTGCGACGGGGTGCCCCAAGTGCAGCTCATAAGCGTCACCTATACAGTTAGCTGCATTCGGTCCTTCCGCCTTGTTAAGTACGAGGATTACTGGGGAATGTTCGATGATATTCGCCGAATCTTCTTCCTGGTGATGCGGGCCCAGATTCAAAGTTCGTCCGTCAGCCGCCCGCTGATTCTTCGTAAGCATCTTCAGCTGTCTCGCAATGAACTCGTCATCAGAAGTGACGCCTTCCTTTGCATCAACAATGAACAAAATCACTTCAGACGCCTCAAGTGCTGCAGCAACCTGCATGAAGAACAGATACGTATGAAAGACTGGAAGTAACCTGCCTGTGCAGGAGAGAAACTGTGCAGCCAGTGCCATTTGGACTGCTGCTTCACCTGGTTGTTTATCTGCCGCTTCGGCGTGTCTGCTACACCACCAGTATCTGCCAAAATGCTGGGTGTATCCGTGAGAAGGAAATTAAGAGAACCGCATGACCACAAATATTCTCTGCGATCTTGAGTAGTCCCGGGGTCTGGGCCAACAAGCGCGAGCTGATTTCCTGCTATGCAGTGCGACTTCGGAGCACCTGCTGTCACAAGGCAGTTGTAAAGGCTGCTTTTCCCCACGTTTTCTCGTCCGACAAGAGTGAGCCGTGGCATCGTCTTTGTTGCATTGTGCTGCGGAGCAACCGAGTCGCGCTGTTCCCTGGATGAGAAGTTCCTGAAATTTGCCGGGCCAAAAGTCCTACTAGACTGGACAACACGATTCTGTGATATAGTGGGTATCCAAAAGTGAGGCAGCACGCCCATAAAGTGTGCAGCAGCATGTTGACGCCAAGGGAAATATCTTCTAAGGCTCCAGACGTAGGAGGGGAAGCCCTCAAGACGCCTCAAAGTAATTATTCCACCTACATTTCCTCCTTTACATGCGCCAATGCATGCTGGCGATGATGTGTAATGTGCAAGCGACTCGACACATCTTGCATTCATTGTTCGTCAGAGCAGAGCGTACAGCTGGAGACGCATCAGCTGCGTCACCCGCCAACACAGCTCCATATTAGTATAGCTTCATACCTCATAAGTATTTGGACAAACAGAAGACCACGCCATTCAGCATTTACTGGATATCGAAGCAGTTCCGGGTAGGCTGGGATCCACTTGTGTGGCACGGCCTGGCGCGACTCTCAAAGTGAACTCTTGTTCCCCCATTAAAAATAGTCGAAAGTATACACCTAAAAGGAATGAGGAATTCTAGTTAGCCCTCAAAGTATAGTGAGCTCATAGCTGCGGTGGGCTTGCTTGATGCCTAGGGCCCCCTAGGCTTATTGGCTGCGCAAACACTACAAATGTAATTATGCCAACAGTTACAAAGGCATTTATCTTTGGCTACAATATAGTAAGAGTGGCAAACGCCAACTAGTTCTTCGCGGCGAATACGTATCGTCGACATAAGGGACGCTGTCCACGCTTAGTAGGTTGCGCATCTTTTCGTCCAGCTCATCGCAAGTTCTCAGCATCAGGGCCTGCTTTCTTTTCCGGTAAGATCAATGAAAAACAATAGCAATTAAGTGTATGATGCCAACTCGTTGATGCAACTTCAAGACAGCCCGTACACCACTTTCGCGTCTCGTTAAAGTAAGGTGGAACACTGTTTCGTAGCTTAAGGAGAAATACTCGTCTGGATTCGCGAGGAAGTAATAGATCAATTCTCTAGCCAGTATCCTACACAGGCAATTTAGATTCTCGCCTGACTTCCTGAGTGGAGTTTTTCCGAGAAAAAAGTTGAGCTTCGCGGGAACAGTGTGCACACCCCACAGTACTTTGCATGGGCGCCCTGATGCAAAGAACAGGCTCAGTCCTCAGAAGTATGTCTCCATCTATCATGCGGCGCACTCACAGGCGTGAGACTTCAGATAGTTTAGAGCGATGCGCACAACGTTGCTTTGCGAGAAGTTGCAGCTTGGCGGCACCTAAAAAGATTCACTGACTCTGCGGCTCATTTGCTAAGTATTTTTGCTTTCTTAGTGGTGAGTTTCCTATCAAGCTTGACAGATAATGCGTTCGCATTAGCCCGCTACAGGCTCTACAATCCGTATCAATCCAAATTTAAGTAGGATAACTTGAGGTCCAAGCATCAAGAAACAAAAATAGCTTGTTAATATGCAGTATGATAGCATCACAGCCTCTTTCCAGCATGCATGGGTGTGGCTCTGTCGGATACGTTGGCATATGAGAAAAGTCCCTGTTCACGCTTAGGTCTAACAGACTGTGATCCTACACTTACATGGAAAAAAAGGCGCACACCTCAAAAACAAAATATTTAGCCACTGAGAACGCAGCAGATTAAAGACTCCACAGGTGCTGCCGTCGAGTTCCTGTCAACTAAAGAGAGCACTTGGATTACTCACAAATTTCGGGCTCCTGGGTTCTGGCCCAGGAACAACTATTGGCAAGCCGCGTGCTTGTGAGGGTTCCATTATGCTGTTGGCAAATTGAAGGCTACCAGGGGCTGCTGTTCGTGTAGGTGGCTGCTGAAATCGGATGAAGCCTTGACACGTTGGCGAACCCTCAGACTGCAGCGGGGATACACGAGATTTAGGATGTTTCATTAAGGGCTGGTTGCAGTACAGATAGTGCAGCGCTGAAGGGTCGCTCACAAAATTGATTAGTTCCTGCTTCTGTGCCGTTTGGAAGGATGCATGAGGCCGAGGCTGGCGGGCTTCAACAGCATGTGTCGCTTCAACGGCAGCTAATTGACCTTCCGGGACCTGCCGACACCACCGTAAGTTCGATTGGCATTTTCCTACAAAGCCCTGGAACTGCTGCAAGCGAGGCGTGCGTACTGGCTGGGCAGCTTGCTGAGAGTACCACTGGCAGGAATTCTGCAGGAAAAGCTGAGCTTGAGGTGTCTCTGGCCAGTGGGACGGCTTGTGTCGGCTCTCAATACTAGCCATCGGTAAAGGATGATCCACGCTGAAACCAGTTCTTCCTGGAATTGTGGAACCGTCACTAGCATTAAGTAACTTTGAAGTTGCACCTTGCTTGCTCCCTTGTGCATGAACGCTTCCGTCAATGTATGGGTTCGGTGATGCAGCCATGTTTTGATTGTTGGATGGCTGCATTCTTACAAATTCGTCTCTTTCAATTCGTAGGCGGCAATTCGACAAACTTTCGGATTTTGATGCTCTACTCACGACGTGAGCCTTATTTGGGTTTGATCTCATCCGTAGTGTGGCACCAAAGTGTACTGTGTGTGGATTCGTCGATACGCTTCGCACTTTTTTGAGACTCGGTAGTGACGTTGCGTCGTTGTCTGCCGGAAAGACTTCGACTGCGGTGTCCAGGGTGGTGCACTTAAATGCTGCGTCTTGTGGATGCGAATTTTGATAAAAAGTTACACCATGACGTGAAGCTAGCGCATTCGCTTTGACCCCGTCTCCAATTTGAAGCTCCGACTTTCTATTAGAAACTGATTTGGCACGCCAGTTCACAGGGAGGCCCTGTTGATTTTGTGGATGGCCATCGAAGACAGATTTAGCGTCGTTGAATCCAGCCAGCCGCTGCTGCGGCTTCCCACTAGGTTCACTTTTGGGTGAACACGCGGTGGATGCAATTGACGAGGGGAGAGGACTGGTCTCAGAGGTTTCTGTTGTCCTGGTGGCACTTGGCAAATCAAACGATTGATCAAGTAAAGGTGCTCTTCGGCTTTTGCTTTTTTGAGTTGACAGTGGGTGCCGCGCCTTCAGCATATTTTTCTTTTGGGCAATATGAGGCGACGAAGTATCCGCTGCACCGGGGCACTCCGGCATCAATGCGTGGTCTATAGCAATGTTCCCAGGGCCTTTGCTTGTGCTTCTCGCTGAACGGATGTGTGTTGGGGACGGTGTTGCTTTCGGAAAAGTCGGACGGCGTGGTTGAGCTTGGGAAGAAGTGCATGAATTCCTGTGGGTGGATGGTCCCTTCCTTGTCGTTCTTTCTGCTGAGTGGTCTGGATTGGCCCTTCCGCTGCAGCTGCCTCGCGAAAGACGATCGAGGCTCAACTTGTTGAAGTGTTTTCGGCTGCTCGTTGAAAGAAAGCTTGAAGTCTGCTCACCAGCTTGGTATTGGCGGGTGTGGATGGCTGGAGATCTCGCAGTCAAACGCGATGTTCCATTCCTTATGGACTCTCCAGATCCCTTGCCAACTGGAACTTTGCTGCAGTTGCCCACTTCCCCCTCTTGGTTCTTGTCTGTTGGTGTAGAGATATTTGGTAGGACAGGGAATGTTGTTGGCCCCGGGTCAACTTCAGCGAAGACAGTGGGCACCACAGGCACCAATGCTTCCAAATCTACATAAGGGTTTTGTTGTAGAATTTGTATCTGTAGCTCTTTCCACATTCGGAAAACCCAGGGGTGTTGGGCGACGCCTGCATCGATCGCAATGACAGCACATCGGGATCCCAATGTCCCCTGTGTGCAACACATGCACAAAGAGGCTGCAATTAGGGGCTGATACTTCAGGAGAAACCACTGCGCTGCGATCAGGGTGCTTGTCCGTACCAACTAGTGATAACCTGTCGCTTGGGTTATACTTCAGCAGCTTCTCAATCAAATCAGCGGCGTCCTTTTTCACATGCTGAAGACAAAATAATCACATGTGTTGCCCGTGAAAAAGTCGTTGTTGGAGATGCTAGTGTCAAAGGCTGCAAGTTATAAAAAACTTACGCTGGGCATTCTAATATCAACCGTCACAATCCGCTGGACCAGCTCAAAGTGCCGTGTCGACTGAAAAGGAGGCCTTCCGTCTAAAAGCTCATACAAGAGAACCCCTGTGGTAACAGGACAACAGATGTGAGCAGTTAGCTCCTCCGTATAGGTGTTCTCATCGCCATTGAGCTACGAATATAATCGAGAACCAGCAAACGGGCCAGAATAAAAACAGCAAGTATATCGAAACTTGCTCTACGTTTACAAAAGACTGAGCGCCAATGGCAAGAAGCCAACTGATTTCAGCTCTTGGCGCCGTGTTAATCTGCTCGCAACCTACCTAGGCTCCACAAGTCGACGCGCCAGTCATGTCCTTGGCCTTTAACCATTTCAGGCGCTAGGTAGTCGAGGGTTCCGCAGAAGCTATAGCTTCGATTGTGACCGACAATGGAACCACACCAGCCGAAGTCTGCAATTTTGAGTATATTTCCCTTCGTAAGTAGGAGATTTTCCAGTTTCAAGTCTCTATGAATTATCCCACTAGAATGAACACAGTGTAGGCCGTTGACTAGTTGAGCGAAAAAACAGAACGCCTCAAGCTCTGAAAAACGCCTGTTCGGCTGCTCCCGAATTCGTCGATAGAGGTCCCCTTGATCGCAATAACCCAGAACCATGTGGAGATACTGAGCATCTTCGACACAAGAGAAACAGCGCAGCACATTCTGGTGGCGTAACAGATCCCTTTGCACGTAAAGCTCAAATTCCACTTGGTTCACCATGCCGGCCCGAACTACGGTTTCTTTCTGAATGCTCTTGACAGCCACTGCAAAGCCACCTTTTCGATGTCTCAGCTTCCGCACAACGCCGTAAGTCCCACACCCAACGATGTCTCGGCGTACGTCTAAAAGGTCTTCAGCCCCTTGGCCCTTATCAAAGCTCTCGAGTTCTGCAAGAGACTTTATGGGTAAGTAGGCCTCTATATAGCTGGAGTCCTCAGTGCACTCATCAATGGTGGCACAGCCTTCGCCTTCGTGTCTGCTGTTGTTTGTATAGGAAATCGCCGATATAAAAGGGCCTACCGGGATGAGATCATGGGGGCCAACTTTAAATCTGTCTTGAATGCGTCGTCCTTGCGATGGTTTGCATTGAGGCGCATTTTCTAACTGCTGTTCAGTGATGTGATCCTCACCACAGATGTGTGCTCCAATCAATGCGTTATTTTCACCAAATGCCGCTGCATGGGCTGCTGCTTTACGTTCGTCTGATAGTGGGCACTGCCCTTCTGTCCTCGCTGTATCCCTAGGCTCCTGCCCTCTACGGATGTCTTGGGACTGATCTGTAACTCTGGCCTCTTCTCTTGACAGGCTTCCGCTCATCTTAACAGTGCATAAGGCGTCTGCAGGAGGACTTGACTCAGTAAGAAGTTGGCCGTCAATCCTTTCTCCTCGACGCAACGCTGATTTAGTAAGCGTTGCCCCAGGGTCTCCGATAATTTCACACTTAAGCTTCAAGCGCTGCTCCATGCTGCCACCAACCGCTGTAAAACTCAATTTCCTGTTCTCTGCCTTGTCAGACGGAGCATTGCCCTGGGAGCCAGTAGAAGCTTCATCAGACTCGCTTATTTTCCACTCCAGTGGTGGTGGCGGTGCGGGTGATTCTTGCTGCCTTTCGACATCGGCAGTAACCGCTTGCAGATGAGCTGTCGTGGGGATCTGCAAAGGTTTTTCTTTAGATTCCAGCCACTCTGCGTGTTCTTTGGGCTTTTCGTGGTTCGAACCTTCATCAGCCCCGACAGATATGGTGTCTGAGCTCGTGGAGCTGTTTACAGATGGACTCACCCTATGTGCATGAGCGTTCGTGGCTAGGCCAGAGAGTTTGGGATGTGGAGAGTGGGGGCGACCTTTTTGAGGCATTGCGCCTTGCTCTACTGTCTGAGGCATAATGTCAGCTTGCACAAGAGTTCGCTGCCTCTGCTGCTGCAAAGAAAGCTGTTGCTGCATCAGCTTCTCTCTTTGCCGTTGGAGCACCTCTTTTTGCTGTTGCAGAAGCTGCTGCTGCTGCCAAAGAAAGTGCTCCCTCTGCAGCTGCAAGTCAAGCTGCCGAGAAGGCTGGAATGGAAGGGTTGGGAAGTGCACGTGGTGCTGGGAGTGCTGGGCTACTTGCTGGTGTTGTGGAGGAAATGGCACCTTGGCGAAGCCCCAATCATTTGAGTTGCCTTCTTGACATCCTGGCATCGCATATGGGGTGTTTGGGGACAATTTCTGCCCATGCAGCTCCTGCTTTTGCATTATATTTCCCCTTGTGGCCGCATGTGAAGCTACCGTTGGAAGCTGTTGCTTTGGACTCTGTCGAAAATGCAGGGTGGGAGATGGAGGACGCGACCGTTGCAAATTTATCGCCGGGGCGTGTTGAATTTCCTGCTGATTTCCGACCCATCCTAGGAGTATTTGGTTCGAGATATCTTGCGGTGCGTGGGCCCGGTTCACTGTTGGAACAACTCGGCGTGCGCCGCCGCTCCCTGACCGCAGCCTTGCATCTGGTGGAGAGCCCTGCGCAGCTACTGATTCGTACGCAGCTCTCTGCTCTGTGGGAGCCCGAAACAAAGACCAGATACGGGTGGCAAGGCTGGGAGATTGACGCCCAGAGACGGGTGGAGTGCTAGCAGAGCGGTTTGAATTTACATCATTCTGTGCTCGTTGAGATTCCGAAGCACCTACAGCGTTGAGGCTTCCCGCAACAACTCCTCTTTGAGGTCCAGAAGGTCTTGCTCTTTCCATGCCAGCCGGTTGACGGGGCCTGCTGTGGTTCTGAGCAGGTACGGAGAGTGGTCTCCAGCCATATGCACACGGCGACTTCCCTCGGACTGAATGCTGGGGAATATGTGGCACGCACTGCTCCTTACCGGCATGTCCAGTAGGTAGCGCGTATGCAGGGGTACTACCAGGAGGCTTTTTGAGCTGGGGCTTAAGAGATGATACCCTTCCTGTGTTGAGAGCGCACGGCAGCTCATTATTGCATTGCGTCACAAGTGGTCCAGGGCACTGCTTCTGCTGCGGTGCAACAAGCTGGTGCGTCTTGTCAGCCAGACGTGCCCACACGCCCGGCCAAAAGTTGTTGGTAATGTTGGGTCCATTAGGCTGATGCGTGGGCCGTTCTTGGACGGGTTGAGCCTCCACTGTGGTACTTTCCTTTGACCTAAGTCTAGTCCCCGTGCTAGAATGGCGTGCAGCGGTCTGCCTTGGGCGGTAACAGCTGTACACGAAACTCGCAGGAGTCATTGAACGCCACAGCAGCTGGGCATGCTGTTGATTTTGGCTTGCTGGCGCTTGCATTTGTGCCCTCTGAGTCATGCCGACCGTACCAGCAGCCTGAGCCGGGGATCCATGTCGAACAAGGGGTTTGTTGGGGCCCAGCGGCAGAAATGGTGGACTTTGAGTGCTGGAATGTAGGCTTTGATGCATCATTTGTATGTCTGGAAGCTGTCTTCCGCGTGCCTGCCTCACATCGTTTGGGGACCAGAAGCGGGCCGCCCCTGCCAATCCAGAAGCGGGCGATCTGAGAACATGGGGGCTGCAATGCGTACTTAAGGGACCTCCTGGCGGGGATGGAATCCCCCGGCTTCCTGAGGTCGCCATGGAACCTAAATTGGTAAAACACCTCTGTCGCGCAGTAGTTTGACTGCAGCTGTGCGCGGAGCGCTAACTAAAACACTCGCCAAACACAACGGAAGAAAGGACCCTGACTTGGCCATGCTTTCTTAAAGAGCTGTGCCTTCGACATAAGAAGGTCAGTTGCTGCCTCTTTCAGAGCTGGGCGACCATCCTACTCGGTCTGGTCTCATGCCTGTAGTGGGCTGAATGGTCCACTGCAAGTGAGATCTCCTTTCTTCGAGGCAAAAATCTGCAGACACCAGTCAAAATATTGCCATCATCAACTGTTGAGTTTGTTCAATGAAATGCTGCTTGTGTTGCGAGGTACGAAGCGCTAGACAAGATCGGCAATATGCGAGAACGTGACGGAGTTATGCGCATCCCTGTCACAATATGCCATAATACACAGGTCGGCTTAAAACAACATAGATTTGAGGCTACTTTTAAGTTGGCCCTTGTTCAGCCCAGGAAGTTCTTGGTGTGGTTTCTCTGGCTAACACCGACAAGGCAGCAAGCCCCTAGCGGGTCTCGCGATCGGCACTCGAGGGCGCTGTGCTCAGGAGCTTTGGTGAAGCCAGCTACGAAACCTAAATATGTTTCCCTTATAAACTTCTTAGATGAAGGGAAAGTCTGGAACTCACTGGAACCGTACTCTCTGCGCACACTCTATTCCAAGGCTCCAAAGGCCGGCGGTTCAGTCCCCGTCATCGCCGCCTTGTCACTTTCACTCGGCTTCATATTTTTCAGTAGATCACGCCTGAGACCCTGACTTGAAATCTTGGAAGAGCTTATGAATTTCATTTCCCTTGTGTTGATGTAAAACTTGCCGGTTTCTCTGGCGTTTTAGCGAGGATTTGGCGTGTTTCAAAGCTGGATAGCTGACAGTGGTCAGCTGCCCATTCGACTGCAAACCGAAGCAGAGAATATCAAAGAGCCTACGCATAGCGCAATCTAGCGCCTGTGTTCTAAGGCAAAGCTGCTGAGAGACGGAATCTCCACACAGTCAGTCCCACAGCAAGGCAACATGAGAAATTGCTTCGTAGAACGTGCAAATCAAACTGCCTGTGAGGAATGTAGCTGCCAAAGGTCTGTACTGAAACTAGCCACATGAGAAACTAAAATACAACTTTTTACGTGTACGCCATCAAAAGCCGCTGCTTGGCTGCGCGTCCTTTAGCTGGTTGCGAGCGTCTGAAAGATATCCCTAGGCAAGTAGTGCGACAGTCATACCTTGATTTGTCTCATCCCAAGTTTCAGGCCATTTGAAACCATTGGCAACTTTGTACAGTCTCCAGATTCACGGCGTGCTACTGTGATGCTAGCAAATTTATAAACAATCCTAGCAAACTTATTGGTAGGTCCGCAGTTTCTTGAAGCGGTAAGCTTGAACGCGTGTCTCCCCGGCGGTTCCACGTACACGGCGTCAAAGTTGCATGTACCATTCAGGCTCAAGGCAGAGTTTCCCATCTGTTCCATCGTCAGAGAAACTTACAAAGCCCTACCGGAAGGAACAGAATCTCACATTTCTGGAAAACTGAAAAGCTGTAGAGGAGCAGAGATGAAGGTGTTGTTTCAGCGTGCAGTGTACGAAATAACTTGTCCATTTAGTATTATGGGTACAAAGTAAAAGCATCGGAGCGCATTTCGCGGTCAGCAGCGCCAGGGGCATCTCGATTGTGCAACTCGTTTTTAGAAGGACGCAGCATTTGATATCTGCCCGCTTGTATGTCCATTTTCATCATGTCCCTGTTTCTAATGGCTAAGCAAGCCCCTTGTAGGGAGCCAACGGAGCTGCGCACGTTCCTGATACCTTGATGCTGTGCGCCCAACGCACTTGGTCTCGTATACTCCACTTCTATTAGGGAACATGAAATTTCGTTGACTCAGCTTGAAATATGGCAGGCAGCTCGCATTCTATCCGCAGACTCTTGAACTCGTGCCCACCTTACCACCATTACGCTTCCCAGATTTCTACTTTGAGGCATAATACTCTGAATAAAATTACAGGCACGGTATGTTGGGATTCAACGAGCTCTTCAAGCCTTAGTTTCCTAATGTTATGCACATCAGCATTCTTAGTCTGTGCAGACCACGCTGCGCATGAAGAAACCATGTAGGCCTCACTGACGAAAACAGACTCTTTCTACTGACCGCAGCTGCGCCTGAGCGTGCTGCCTCTTCAATTAATCTGTGCCCTACAATGCGTAATACACTTTTCCAATTGGTTGTTGCAGCGTAACATTGAAGCGGCCTTTTTAGTCACTGGCATTAAAGTTGAATTTTTGATACGGCGAATCAGCTATCAAGGCTTTTCCGCATGCCTCCGTTGCCTTATAATCAGTGTTGAGTGCCTGGCTGTACTTTTTCTTGATGCTTCTAACCCAAATTGTGTACATGGAGTCAAGCCATGACCGAAGGATTTCCTGACTGCATATGTAGAAGCTCCCTGTGATTGGAGGACAGCTACACAGCGGGAAACTTCTTGGAAGCTAACGGGACAACCGCCTAAACGTTATCGGCTACTAAGTGGATACAGGCCAACAGTTCAACAAATAGGAATACAAAGCACGTTGACACAACTTCCCAATGGAATTCATTTGAGGTTCAGCATGATTCTCGTCGCGAATGGCCGACCTCACATAGTGTAAATAGAGCCGCAGGAAATGTCGTCCAGCTAGAAGTCATTCACGCGGCAAGAGAAGAAACAGTATGTGGTCACTGGGTACACATGAACTGATGAACTGACTGGTATCTCTCGTGGGAGTCAGTCCCTGCATACACAGGCGACCATTATGTTGCTTGCCCAAGGCAAAAAGTCGCACAAATAACAATAGAACGAAACGTGGAAGTCGTAACGAAAAAATTGGCTGGCTGCAGTCAGGCATCGTTGAAACCCTCAAAGAAAATGAAGCAGCGGCCCCGGGTGTGACACGGTCAACCACTTTGGCGTTGTCGAAAAAAATTCAGAAAAGTTAGCTGAAAATGAAGCTTGGCAACGTGTTAACGCCGTTTGAGCAAAAGCATCAATCTCCACATGCAGAGGCAGCACAGAAGCCCGACAATCACTGAAACAGCGATTGCCATGTGGATCAGTCTGTTCAGGCGCATCCACGTCGTGCCAAGTTGAGCTTCAGTTTCCGGAGGCTCTGCAAGGACCATTATAGCAACTCTGTGCGAATCTCCCCTAAAGAAGCAAAAAGCGCATGCATGTTCACACAACTGATCCAGTTTCTACAATATATCTGCGTTTTCGCCTCACCAGTCTGACAGGGAGCAGATGCACTGAAAATGTGAAGTACCGTATTGTTGTTTCAAGGGGCTCCTCCCTTAGCTCTAAAGCAAGCGCTTCCGCGTAACTGTTTAGGTCGCTGACTTCAGTGTAGTTAAACCGAAGCACGTATTCGTCAAACGGGTCTAAAGCCAGTACAGGAGCTTGTTGCCCATTTTCCGAAAAATCATTTTTGTTCTGACCATTCCACTCTGAACCCTGTCCAAATATTCGCATAACATGAGTGGCAAGACGTAGCTAATGGACAGAAACACTCAACCGGAGTGTCTGAGTAGGTAATCCTAAGCTACAGGCGGGTGTAAGGGGCTAGCGCTCTGCTCATGCCTACTTGCTCGTTCGTTGCAAGGTTTGTTACGGTCTCCTGTTTGGTCTCTGTGAAGCCTTCGAGCTCTGATAGATGAGCCTCACGCTTCTCCATATGGTAACGCATCTCTTCTTGCTCTTCTTTTTGGGTCTCCCACTCTTTAGCCGCTTCCTCTTCTTTCCTCGCCAAAAATGCTTTGATGTCGCTCGCTTTCGGCACTCGTAAAACAGCGCGGTCTAAAAAGGCGGCGTTCATGGGGAGCATCTCTGTTTCTCCAAGAGCAAAAATTATAAAAGCGCTGTAAAACACGTTCAAAACGCATTCCGACATGTGTTGCTGTGCTCGTGGCAGACTAGCCAGCAGATGGACTTGGGCCTCACTGTAGCCAGCTGCTTAGTTTGCAGTGAAAACGCACACTTTCTTGCCAGCTATACGTTCGCCTTTTAACCGTGCCAGTAGCTTGCGTGGGTCAAGACCTTCCGAGTCCTTCACAAATACGGGGGTTCCTCCACTCCTGTTTAGTCAGAAGCAATTCGAGTCAAGCATACATCCGCTCGATGAAGCTGCGCGTTGATGCGCACATACATCACGAAAATCCGGACCAACAATCACGAGGGTGATATAATTCGGTGTGTCACTGCAGGGTTAGAAACAACATGAATACGCTATAGTCAAATTAAGGATTAGTCGAACGGGATAGATATCATGCAGACTTACGAGAAGCTCGCAGCGAGATGCAACAAGTTTCTGCAATCCGCGATGTGGTCATTAAGGACAATAACCAGACGTCGCCTACAGCAACAGTAAACGCTACACCTATTTTCTGCCTCTATGTGAGCAGAAACATGTAAGCCACCTGAAAAGTGTGCAGGTAGCCAAGACCTAAATCGCATATATGCAGAGTCGCAATGAATCAAGCTGAAGGATTCTCTACTGCTCAATCTCTTACCCGTCCGGCGCTTCAAGCCAGCGCCGAGGCAAGCTTTTGGAGAGAGCCTCAACAAATAGCTGTTCATTGTCTTGGAGTTCAGCGGCTGAAGCGTCTCCAGCTGGAGCACCCATGGCCAGCTCATTGGTCATTCCAATAGTGGCAGCAGGAATGCGTGCCAGACCAAATGGCACCCATCGCAAAAGTTTACTACTGGTCTCGCGTGTGCGCTTGAAATCTGCACTACTTCGACGTGCCGACGGTTTGTCAGTCACTGCTGCAGCGGGCCAATTGCCTTCAGGGGCCTCTAAAGGCTTGGTGCGCATGCCTGCCTGCTCGGTAGCTAGCTCTTTTGAAGCGTATTCATCTCCAAACGCGCTCTGTAGGAGCTCTAGGGGAGAAGGTAGGGCAAAGGGGTACGGCAACCGATGACCCTGGTCATCTGCTAAAGATTCCTGAGTTGCAGAAACGAGGGCAAGGCCGGTTTCGTTCAATAACCGAATATGCCACTGTGATTTCACCGGCGCACTGCAGCAAATGATGCATACGCAGGCTATGTTCAGATGTATGCAATGCCTGAGCATAAGGAACACTAGAGTCCGCCAGCAGTCGCAGCTACTTAAGTCGTACAGAGCTACTGCCTTGGAGAACCACCAACTGTGGAGGACAGGTCGCAGCAAAGCTTACTACTCAGCAAGGACAAGAAAGAAGAAGGGCTTCTGTCTGCAGCGCAGTACCAAAGGCAATCTCGTTTCCTTGACTGAGTGAAAAAGCTAGCTCTTAAGTGCCGTCCGCAAAACGTACGTTGGAGAAATTCACAGATTGGTTGGCGCCAATCCTGCACCTACCGGTCATCTTGAAGCGCTGCCGCTGCAGCAACATACTCTTCTGCTGTGTGCCATCTAGCGCGTATGATTGGCGTGACTCCTCTGAGTTAAGAAAATCAGAAAAGCGGAAGCAGTTGGAGCAAGAAAAAAACTTCGAGCTAGACTGTTAGGGTTTAGCTTCCGGGGCATTCAAGATTAACCTGAGTTACGAATATCCTTGCGTTTCACGTAATATTTTCCGTTACATGGTCTCAGTTAAAGGTCAGCTTACGGATTGGAGCGAAGCCGATGAGCGATGTCCCACTGCAGGGCCGCTGCATAACGTGCTGGCGTGAGAACAGCCGCCACCTTCGTGGAAAATGCTGAAGGCAGTCAGCAAACTGCAGACTCGCCCTACATCAAATCCATGCCTAACCAAAGTAACTTTTGCTTTGGTGAGTAACGTAATACAACGGCAACTCCCATTGAAACATATCTAGCATGAAGAGCTCTCCAGCTGCAGCGCGCTTCGCCCTTCATGTCAGTTAGCGTATAGCTTACTAATGCCTTCTGGCTTCAACGCTTCCTCCAGCAGGGCTTGACTGTAGGGAAAGGTGAAACCCTGTGCGCTGGCCGCGTTGAGGCTTTCACCGATACCTCCAGCGCCAGCACTGTTTTTCTCTGATGTAACGTTCTCCCATGCAGCAACATGGAGCTGTTCTGTCGACTGCGGGAGTCGAGGTAAGGTTGTTGGATATTCTTTCGACAGTGGAGTCCTCTCAGAGAAAGAAAACTTCAGCACCTCTGATGAAAGTTTAGGAGCCTTAATTTTCTCGCGCTTGTTGAGCATTGCGGTATTCGTAGTCTCCTGCCCCCAGGGATATCCATGAGAGCGATCTGAGAAGGCAAATAAGCACGTGACGGAACTGATACAACGGCTGAGAACGGAAATGTAGGAGGCCTCCGTGGCGTGCCTCTGCTCGTGCTGGCTGTTTACTGAAAAAAGCAGCCGCAGAGCAAAGCCGACATCCACACACGCCTGAAACTCCTCACCGCCTAATCCTCTGAATCCCTGAGTTAGCAAGACCACTGATTGCCCAGCGGCCAGTGAGACAAAGGCCCAATGAAAGAAGCGCCCCGTAGTTCCCAGCATGGTGATTAGTGTACGGTGCAAGACACCAGGCCATTGGAGGGGTTTGGCTTCAAATAATTTCCTTTGTCACTGTTTATTTTGAAAAGTCATCTGACAGGTTCTAGATTCCTATGGTATCTTTTGTGCGAAGCCTCTTGTGAGACCCAACTGTCTCCCGAAGACTTGCGATAGACAGAGGGTCTCGGAAAAGGTGCTCAGTGCCCTCAGGGCTGAAGAAAAATGGGCTTGCTTAAACTTGTACTAGGGAAAGTCTTAAAGTTGTCTGCGGTGGGATGAGCGCAACAGATAGAGCGCTGGACACCACCGGTCCACCAAGAAACGCACGTGCCGAACTGTAGCTGAGGCGCCAACCTGAAACCGGCAGTTTTTGAATGTTTCTCCCAATAAGACAAAAAATGCGTAAATTTATGTAGTATGGAATTTTCACCTTCTCAACAAGGTGGCGTCTTCTATGGAAGAGCAGTGCCCGGCTGAACAGCTGCTCAATGAATTGCCCGATGTTTTGATGTTGCGAAATAACTCAAAGTCACAGTTGGAATTCGGCACCTGATAAAAAATTCTCCTGACCGGTTATTTCCCCAAGGGAAATGAAACGTATCACGTGGAAGCTCCGGTTCACCACGTCACACGCAAACTGCCCGGTGCCGCTGATACCGGGAAGGCTCGCCGCCCGCCGTTTTTGCGTAAATTCCACTATTGCGACTCCCCAAAGCATCAAGCATCGCCGACTGAACAGCTACTTACCACAACAGAGCACCTACAGTATAGAGCGTGGAGTCTGTAGATACGGCCTCACATCTGGCGGAAAAAACTAAACCCTGCTACCTGCATCGACCTGCCCAAAAGTCGACACATACAAGTGAACCATGCACTCACTGGCACCACTATAAGCACTACACCGCTCCCCAGTTGTTCACCCCAGTAGTCCACAGGAAACACGGAGCAAGCAAGTGAGCTATGTAGCTCTGCGTGGCGTCCCCACGCCTCGTGCAGCACCTGCCGCCTGCATGCTTGCACGGATACACACTTCCGCTCCCCTCTACCGTGCTACCTGTAACTGAAACAACTGAGCAGTAAAACAGAAACTGCAACACCAAGTGTCCCGTTTGCCAGTTAACTCCTATTAGTCCTACTGCGAGTCCCTCGTAAACCTAAATTACAAGAAAAGCAAGCATAGTTGTGCGAAAAAGGCAGCGTTGCCCTTTCTTCCCCTCATGGACTCATGCTGAGGTGCATCGAGGAGAAGCTCTCTCTATTACTAAATAGAAATTTGCACGTAAGATGTCAAACGAGGTCGGCTTCCTCGCGAAGGTACTCGCCCACATCTGCGTGGTGGTAGAACGAGACTGCTTCCGTAGAAGCCGTATGGATCTCCGCTGTTGCCTTTGCACTCGTACCAAAACCTAAAGGCAAATCCCCGTTCAAAGAAAGCACGCAGACACCTGCCCCGCTCGGCATGTCTGCAGTTAGTCGGCCTACGTGGCGCTGCGCCAAACAAACAAATAAAATGTTCCCCGCACTTCAGCCGCATGTTCACCCAACTAATGTGCACCTTGATCCTGAAAAATTATGACGCAGACGTATGGAGCAAACCCAGCCTCCCCACAATAAAAAATTGTCTCCCTGGCCTCCAAATGCTCAAAAAGGGATGGCAGTCACACCTTAACCTTTCACTGCGTGCGGCGGCATCTGCAATCGAAATTACTGCAAATATGTGCTGGGAGGTGCTGCCCTGCATGGTATTACATCCCTTAAACATTCTTAACCATGAAGTGCGCAGCGTAAGCGCACAAAAAAGCGCAGTGTCAAGCCAACAAGCATCGCCCACCTTACCTTGATTATATGATTTCCGTAGACAAACGCTTGCTCGCCACCTGGGTTTAACCACACCTTGTGAGGTGCGTATTTTGCAATCACATGCAGGGCTGTAATCCCCAGTCTGAACTTCCGGCCTTTCGTGATTTTACCAATGCATTGACCAACACTCAGCTACACGCAAATAATGCACGACAACAATGGGGGGGTAGACAACATATGCTATGGAACGATGAAGGGCTTTTCCTAGTGGCAAGTGCCAGGGTGCTGCAACTGCTGAAGTTCCATTGCAGTAGCATGGCCAGGAGGCTTACAAGGTTTTTGCGTGGAATGCATCCGGCAGCCTTTAGCAACTTCTCGCTGAGCAGAAAGAGAATGCCACAAGTCGTCGGTTGTCTTCTCGACGAACAGGATAATAAAAGGCAGTTACTGCGGGTGGTCCATCGTCGCAAAAGTACCGCTGCTAAGTGTCTCAAACTAAGAATCGTGGAGAAACTGCTGCAATGCGCAACCGGCTGCTAGCTCAAGCCTTAAAGAGACAACATTGCACTTCTGTAGGCCACTTTTGCACATCCGAGCTGTAACGCCTGCCAGCCCACCTCAAGAAGAACACGCGGTCGCGATGCAATCGGAACACGTGAGGATCTGACGAGTTTTCAATCAAATGAAGCAAATTGTCTCCGAGGCTGCAAGCAAACAGAAAAGCGCCATGCGTCACTTGATCAGTTCTTGTGAATGACGCAATCTGCCTTAACTTAGAGGTACATGGATGATGTAGTTGTCGGTTGCCTCAAGATGACAGAAAGTCAACTTGAAGTTGGGTTCGCCTAAGTGACTCTCCTTCTCTTCGGCATGAAGATTACGTAGTGAGCTTTGCGGGAGGCTCACAACTTCGATAGCTTCTCTAGAACAAGCTTAATTTCGTCCTCAGTGAGGGGCCGCATTTTCAAGCGCCACCCCCAAGCTAACTGTTGTTGCCCAATAATTCGGTTTTCCTGATGGAGCGGACTTGTGCTTCTGCAAGCCGAATATAGAACGTAACACTCCACTGCGCCGAACAGCACCGCGTCTGATTGCGCCTCAATGTAGACGAAAGAAAAGCTTTGTAGGAGCTTACTCAGAGGCACTTTGCCGCAAATTACGATAAGAAGAAGAAACGATCCGTTTAATCGGCTTTGAAGACGGGAGGGCCAATGTGCTCTGTAAAAATCTGAAGGCGTGACGGACTTTTTAGCAAAAAGTCATCCCACCCAGGAGCCCGCTGTCATATATCAGCTCTCACTAAAAAAATAAACACAAGCCGGCGCATTCCTAGATTGGCTTTAAGGACTAGAGAGGAGCAGCTCAAAATTGCGACCCCCACGCATGCCAGATCCAGCACGTGGCTTGAATGCTTACCAGGTGTCGCATGACCTGAATCATAGCACGAATCCACGCACCAGGTGGCTCCGTAAAATGACAAATTAAGAGTGTTTGAGGGGTAATAGATGAAAAAGGAGGCCAGCTGAGTCTGGCCCACGGAATGAGTTTCTCGGAGAGCCTTCCGCAACTGCGTTTTGCTTAGAAGTAGCATGTGAAGACATAAAGGCTGAACAAGATGCAGGCACACCAGATTTACGAAGTAAATTGAGCAATATAATTTTTAAAGGACTATAAACGCATTCACTGAGATGGTCTGAGCTGAAGTCCCCCACAACAAAGTGGCAATCCGCTACAGTCATTGCCGGAATGTTTACTGGTCTTAAGTAGAAGAGAGTCCGCTTATGCGAATCTGCAGAGAGCGCGTTTATACTTAAATTAGATGCCTGTGGCAGTGTGGCCTCTTTCACAGCAATACGTTGTGGAAGGGACTTCGCGTTCGTCGGAGGGACCATGCGTGTGTGATGGGAATTTGGGTGGAAGTACCAATGATGCAGGCCTGTAAAACACAAATAAAGGGAAAAATGGAGCTGCGTCGATTTCGCCTCCTCGGGTAATACATAATTTAGACTTTTTCAAGACCAGGTCGTGACCAAGCTGCCGTCACACAATGGAGCGGCTCCCTGGAGCTAACTCCAGGGCAGCGGGCCTCCTGCTGAGGCTGTGGGCCGGCGAAAACTGGCGAAACGTGACTGTAGAGCGCCTACAATGAGATATAGCATATGTGGGAGCAGTACGTTGGTGTCTATAGGGATACGAGTCTTATCGGCACCTCCTAACAGGGCAAGCAGGAAGTAGCGCACTCAACAGTTTACTGTTAAAAATATCCTGTCAGAGTCAAGATTCGCACAGGACATGAGCCCATGTTCGCCAGGCACTCATGCTTGTAGATCCATCCCTACAGGCTGCGGCGCCTGGTGCCCCGGTAACGTCTGATGGTTTCATCAACGCGGCCGACGTTCCATCGGATCTGCCGCGCCACCCAATTTATCATCCGCAGCACAGAACCGTGGAAGCATGCGTTGTGGGGCACCTTGTTGAATGGCGAGTTTGCACCGTCACATCGCCACCCCTAGTGCCGAAAAGCCACTGGGTCCGGGGCGCCGATGATACGGTAGGATGGTAGTAAGAGTACGGACGTTCGACGTTCGAGCCCATAAGCCCCGAACGTTTCACAGACCACTGTGAATGCTTCCCAATGTTCCTTCGAGCCAGAAGCAGCCTGACAGCATCTGTCCTAGAACACCCAACACATAGGTGCTTCCCTGTAGTTGGCCTCCCTGGCATCGCACTTGCATCTTCCAGCAGTGACAGCAGCAACGAACGCACGCTTGGTATATCACCCGCCACCTCTATGAACTACATTTTAAGTCTATTTCTCATTCCGCGAGCCGTGCACTGCTGCAGCACAATAAAAAGCAGGTGGAGGAGCCGGATGAACTTCTGTAAGTTTTAGCTGGCCTTCCGCTTTAGTGTCTGATTTTCGTCTCTGTTGCCAATGGTGAATACGTGTGCCGCAGTTTCTTGAACTCCTTACGCACGCTTTCTACATCTTTCACGATCAAGTAGCTTATAGTTACGACGAGAAAAAAATTTTCCTTGCTCGTAATACATGCTTTTACTGGAGTGACAGGTGGGCATTTATTTCAGCATCTGTTAGATCTTGTGTGCAAAGCTAGAAGACAGAAGCCTACGGGTCTCTTTCAGCCCATTGCCGCTTTTTCATGCACTTCAAATCATGGCGGCCTCAAGTGCATTGCGCTTTCTTACCGCTATCGGTCATGACCCTCTACTAGTGGCTGTCGGCTCCCTCAGCAAGCTAACTCTATTCACTAACATGAATAAAGCAGATACAGCAGTGGAAGTTTTCAAGCTCGTTGCTGACCGCCTTGTATGCTGTCACAAGCTCTTTGAAGTAGTCCTTCCTGAAAGAGACCCTCGCACCCGTTTCAATATTCAGGTTGCTGTGACACTTACCAATCATACCCAGAGCAACGGAAGGACCAAACGTGTCACCCGCACTCTGAAGCATTCACTTTGCGCCTGAATGGGATGAACAGAAATGGGGACGTGTGCTCCTTGCTCCCAACCCACTTACGACATGGCAAGGCTTTTTGTCACCTAATTTGTCTCCACTCCTCAGAACTCCGTAATCGAAAGCTATAGTGGCATCGCCGGTTTCGTAGCCACCACCGTTCACACCCCCATGACGAAGCTGTTGGAGTAGTGCTACGCTCGAGTGCAAATCACATGTGCCGTGGTAAGTGGCAGCAAAAGGCATACACCAACTCCATGATCTGTGAAGTTGATTTCGCAGCGGGGACAAAGCGTGGCCTAACTGCAAGCGTTTACTGGCGGCCGACTAATACATTGAAGTTTTACTGCTTTGAAGTGATTTATTCATAGTAACAAAGCCCACTAGGAAGTTTGTTTGCCGTTTAGAGTTGCGTCACGCTTGCTGGCGTCACAATACTTTCCAGGCGTCCTAACTCATTCCTCACCTCGCCTGCGACCCTCAAATACCCTCTGAAGAAGCTTGAAGAAGCCGCTGTTGGTTGGCTTCCTGCTGTAAACGCCGCCGGTAAACGTACAGACGGGTACGAGTTCGGCTAAATATTGGGTCAGCAGGGCACAAAGAGAGATATTTAATGCCTTATGAATTGGCAAAGCCAGTCTCACGATCAGCGTGATTTGGAGCCAGTTTGTGACCTCACAAGATGCCCTTCACTTCCGCAAACTTGGGGGCAGAAGGTGCCTGCAGTGGGCAGCGCTACAATAAGACCGAAAATTTGCCTGTGATGTCGCATAATTCATAAACTTTAGATTCACGTAATAATTTGAAATCATTGCTCTGGATTGCTCTAACACGACTTGATAGTAAAATCCGTGCGTTTTTAACTTCCCACTCCACGGCATGCAGATTGCTACCTGGCTACAGAGTTGCTACTAGCCAGACATCAAGCGCCTTGCTGCAGGGTGCGCAGGATATACCTATCCTGAGAGCTCTGTCCGTAATCCCCTTTACGCACGCAATCCGACGGAAAGCAGGCAAACCCTTGAATCTTCTACGTCGGCATTCGTTTGACGTGAATCGCTGCCTAATTTGCATTTTTGATAAACGCGCCAGGCACAGTCGTTGGAAGCTTTTACAAAGAAGGAGGGAAGCTTTACATAAATTCCTCAGCATACCGCAGCATTCTGAACCCTCAACAGGCGCTTTGCTAAATGAGAAACCTTCGAGATAGCAGGTCTCAAGAAGCCTTTAGGATGCTAACGCTACCTTCGTGCCGTTTGCTGCTGCGCTAGAGCAGTGACCTCTGGTTCCTTAGTCTGGAGATGCCTTTTGCGAAAGCGGACGCACACACATAATGATGAGGAACAACTGTACACCATACTCGGACAGCTGATGGCAAAGGTGAGAGCCTTTGCTCACCACTATGCATCTGAACGAACTCAGCAACAATTATTTTTGCAGCATGATCATCCAGTAGCACACCGCTTCTACCCTCAGAGGACTTAGTCGCAGCTAGCTCCCACGTTTTACTTGTATGGAAAGCGGACGCATATCGCAGAATGTATGTGGAGTTGGCGCGCCGTAGCAGTGCAGATGCACTTTTGCAGAAGCCTGAAGCGTACCTATAACCCCGTACCATCTTTGCTAGACGATGGAATACGGTATTTTTTGGCTTTTTCACTGTGCAATGCTTTCCAAGAGGTGGCGTGGTGCGACTGCCGGCAGTGGAGCACTGGAACGAAACAGCAGGATTCGTTCCTGCGCCCACTCAAATGTATACAAATGATATTGGCACGCCGCTTTGTCTGGTGCCTTGAGCGTAGCAACAGGCTGAACTTCGACAGGAATCCGCTTATCGTCTTGTCGAGACGATCTTTGTCATAGCTTTATGAGGGGACTCTCTCTGTGCTGCGTCAAGGGGTCTGTGGACGTAATAAGTTGCCTTCACCACAAGCGTGCTCTGAGGCGGAAGATAGGCAGCGGATAGGGAAGAATAGCACTGCAGCGCTGTACTACTATGAGAAGGTTTGCTCCTTCTGTCCTCTAGTAAATTTCAAACGTTAGAAGCGCGTAAAGATCATTTAATAGCCGTTTCCAGGCTAGGTCAGGGCCTTTTAAGCATTCGTGTACTATAAATGCTGTGAAGCGTTGCGCCTCTACACTGAGACGCAACGTTTCGAAACGTTGCGTTTGAAAAGTTGCGCCTCAGTGTATTTCTTAGCGAGGCACTCGATAATACCCCGTAAGCGAAACCTTGGTGGAAAGGATCCTGGGCGAAGCTGAGTACAACGGCGTGAGGCCTAAAGAACATATATGGTGTGAGGGAGAGGACTCACCGGGCCTCTAGTGGGGCGCCGGTCCGGGAGACAAGTGCGGCGTTATCCGATAGCGCAAAGAGACTTGTAGGCTACAAGTCAGAAAGGCGTTCTTTTCATCCATAATTGATTGGAGCATCATACAGAAATGCAGATTGTAAAGTACATTCCAGTGGCTGGACTAACCAAGGGACGA